ATTGACCATGCAACAAAATATTGGTGTGTAGAATATCCCTATTCAGTGTTCAGCTGCACATTGCTCATTTAGATTTTCCATTTCCCATCTATCAGTCAGCATTCTGTGATAACTGAATACTTATCGATGACCACCACAGTTATTTTTGTTTTTCTCCAGACTCAAGTCTGCCACACTGTATTGTACATACATCATGGGAGAATCCACAGTCATCTTTAAATGTCTGAAACAGAGGAAATTATTTTATGTAGACTGTATTTATTTTAGCTTATAGCTACGTTGAGGCAATTCAGTATTTTAAAAAAATCTATCAGTATTTTCATCTTTCAGGTCACTTTTCATATTGAGCCATACAAAGATAGAGATGATCGCAGTATGTACAACAATATCAAGTATATCATCGACAGGTAAGAATCTTTGAAGGGAATGAGAATGTTAACGTTATCCTGTCTGGACTTGTTTGTCTAATTTTTAGTTTCTGTGTGCACCATTCCAATGTATTTGGTTCTGTTGCTAGTTATTTTTTCACCTTTATTGCTATGTCTTATCATTATTTTTCATGTTCTCTCTTTTGCATGATTTCCATCTAGTCTGAATTAGGTAAAATACAATGAAATGTAGGATTTGTCATGACATTGTAGGGAGCATTAAATTAATTAAAAAATTTTTAACATTTTGCATTGCTAAGTGTTTCTTTTTTAGTATGTCTAATGTTTATGATGATGCCACGTTTCAGATGAAAAGGAGACAGAGTTTGAATAACAGCTTATAATAGTCATTAGAAAACCGTAAGAAATAATTACTTGATTTGATTCTTTGCTTTGTAGATATGGAGGTCATCCAGCCTTTTACAGACATAAAATCAACACGGGTAGAACCCTTCCTATGTTTTATGTTTACGACTCTTACATAACAATCCCTGAAATATGGGCTAATCTACTCACTGTGTCGGGATCCCAAAGTATACGTAATACACCATATGATAGCTTATTCATTGGCCTCTTGGTTGAAGAAAAGCACAAGCATGAAATCCATAGAAGTGGCTTCGATGGAATGTATACATATTTTGCCACAAACGGTTTCTCTTATGGATCAAGCCATCATAACTGGCCAAGTCTAAAAGCTTTTTGTGATACAAAGAACTTAATATTTATTCCAAGTGTGGGCCCAGGCTATGTAGATACCAGCATCCGTCCATGGAACAATCACAATACACGGAACCGGGTCAATGGCAAATACTATGAGACTGCATTCAGTGCTGCACTTCTAGTACGGCCTGAAATAATTTCCATCACATCTTTTAATGAATGGCATGAAGGGACTCAAATTGAAAGAGCTATTCCAAAGAAAACTGGAAAGACAACATATCTGGACTACTTGCCACATAAACCAAATATTTATCTGGAACTCACTCAGAAGTGGTCTGAAAAATATAGCAAAGAAAAGGAGCAGTGGCTTACATGAGGTGCTGTTTCGCAATTCAACAATGAGCTAATCACTGTGTCACTGAAAAATGGTGAACATTTTGTGAAGCTATGGTCACTGTACTGGTATAGCTTTGTTAGAAGAAATTTTCATTCTAAAGAGTCAAGGAGACAATGGAAAGTAATACTACATCCTTGGGTTCTTGTATTATACAGGGAATATGCTAACAATGCTACATATAATGTGTTTTAATGTTCTATCTAGATATTTCAAATACTCTGTCCAGATTATTTGATACACTGTTGAAGTGGAATGGTACATAGCTTATTTCAGCATCCCTTTAGAACAAGGTAAATTTAGGAAGTAGCTTCCAGTGCAAAGTGAAGAGATGCAATCAGGATACAACAAATTCCTCCCTGTGCAAAGTCTAGATCCCTGTCTTGGAACAACTAAGAACAAAAATTTAGACATTGTTTCTTGAAGAGTAGTGTGTAAGCAGTGCATGAAACAGCTTATCCAATGGTAAAGAACACTTTTTTAGTGGAAGAACTACTTAAAAATTACTTAGAGCTGTATTGGAATACAGTTTTTTCTCCAGTGAAGCTCCCATATATTTCAGTGCAGAAAGCCAGTCTTGGTTATAGATGTCCACAGTGTGTAAATTTTGTATTCCCAGTTGTCCACAGTGTGCATATTTTGTCCATTATAATAAGTTGTATCTTTGTAGTTGCTTTTGGTTTTGTTGTAAATGAGTGATGTGAAATTAATAGCAATTGTTAATTTCATTGTTAATTGTTAAGAAAGGTTCACTAATGTTGCTTGGCATTATGTAAAGACTTTCAATAGCTAACCAGCTTTTATGTGGTGGTGCTGTCAGCATATAACTAGAACTAAGAAACACAATGGAAGTCTTAAAGGAGTGCCACTCCAGAGAGCATTTCAGCTTTGACGTGAGTTCTAAGAGAGTGGGATTGGGGCCCTGTTTGAAGTGGGGCCCTTAAAACTCAGTGCAAGTGGAGCAGCCACTTCATTTTGTTTGGATATCAGCCATCTGAAACATCTTCAAAGAAGATAACGTTTCTAGAAGTATATCTTTTTATAAAAAAGTCTGAAAAATTAATAATAGTATAAACTGTTGGTCATGTGATCATTTGCAGAGGTTAAAGCAACTTTAATTTTTTTAGCAGTGCAAGTATTATCAGTTCATAAGTGAAAACACGATAGATTTGGTAGAGAGAATTGAAGGTGCCTCAGAAAAAAGCCACCAAAACCGTGTCTTGGGAATACACAAGTATCCTTTATTTGCACTTTTACTTGGTGATAGTCTTATTAAAGAGATGGAATAATGTGTAAACAGCTGCACATTTATGCTAATGGTTCAGTCTCCTCTTACTGATATTTATAGTCTCAGGATTCAGGCATTTCAGAACGCTGTCATGTTATTGCCCCGATACAGAAATCCTTTTTATGTATTGTCTTCCACACAAATACACTTTTCTAGCACAGTCTTTTGAAGTGATTTAGACTGAATTAATAAAAACAATAAGTATTTTGTTGCTTTAGGTTTGTCCCTTAAATTTAAACATTACATACGAGATGCAGCTTGATTGTGGGGAGCCTTTTCCAACACACTAGGCCTTTGTTTGCCATATCAGATAGGAGGGTAGTACCACAAGAGGAGTTGTACTTTATGTGTAATGATGGTCTACAGGAAGTTGTGATACTCGCTTGAGTGCCTTATGATGTCTAAATTGAAAGTGCCTCTCTGCTGAGCTTCTTTAATACTTTTCCAAAACTAAGTAAACTATGGAATATGAGTCCATTGTTATGAGCTTGAGTTTGGGAGTTCTGAAAAATACACTATAACACATAATATGGGTTGTGAGAGTGAATGCTGCTTTTCTCTTTTGACAAACAATGAACAGATTCTCCACCATAGCAAATCTGCCACATCTGCTGAGAAGTGCAGTTGGTTTAGGCAGCTTAAGTCCTCATATACCCAGGAAACGATATGCTGTGGGGTTCAATGAGTAGCAGTATTCAAAGCTATCCATAGAGACCATCCTGTTGTTACTGCTGCAGTTAGCCAAAGCAAATGGGAGAGAGGAAGGAAGGAAGGGAGAAACATGTAAAGACTTTACAGGGCCACAGTCTAAAGATTTTATTTGTTCCGCCCCTTATTCTTTTTCTGCTATTGACATACTGCTCTTCAAAAACCTCTCTATACCCGCTTCTCTTTTCTTCACCACCTCCACCTTTGGAGGACTAACGCCAGCCTTTTGGACCCAAGCATTAACCCACACTGGGAGCAATGATGCCAAAGATGACGGCAGGACGGAAAAGTTGTTGCTGTGGTCATTTTGGCCATAGCAGCACTGGTGCCTTTTGCTCTACCTGAGTCTCTTGCTTTTCTGGGGGTGGCAATGGCAGCACAGTGAAGAGAGAGAATACCTGGGTGAGGAGATGCCTCTGGGCCTGCCTGAGTCATGGAAGCAGAAGGCAAGAGGAGCAAAAAGGTGAGGGAGGAGAACTGGGGAGGAGTGGGATGGGGCAGGGCCTATTGGGGGTAGGTGTTTATTAGGGCTCAAAGGGTGGAGGCCTTTCAGTGAGGGAGTTTGAGGGTGGGGAGACATAAAGGGAGAGACTTTTCCACTTCCAAAAAAGTAAATTTAAGTCAAATGTATTTACTTTTTCTCCCCTCCTCAAATTTTATCTGGGAGCAGCAAATTTACAGGGGGGGCTCTTAATTATGTATTATATTAATATATTGGGTTAGAATTATGTTATAAAAATCTATTTTTAATGTGTTTTCTCTAAAATGCATTTTATGCAAATATGCCCGGTGGAGGCCACAAGTTACTTGGTTCTTATAAAAAGGAATCACAATTCGAAAAAGGTTTGGGAGCACTGCTTTAGGAGTTTACACAGATGAAATCCATATTTTCTAGTCACCCTAAAAATAGAAATGTACATAATCCCATTATATAATGGTTTTTCCTAGTCACTGCACAAATTGCAATGTCATGGTTTAAAACATTTTTAAATACAGATTTTTCTGAAGTCATCTGCAAACCAAATTAGAACCCACACCACCATTTTTTATGTTGTATGAATTTGCAGAAATTAATCAGCATTCATATGCCATCTAACACCTAGGAACAGAGAGGAATGTTAACCTGCCATTGAAAGGATGGTAACTCTGGAGGGGTAGACAAGCTTTGCTGGGGAGAGGGACTCCTGAAGAAACCCTTTGTTAGCACCTTCAATGTACTCTTGGGTGAAGGCCTCAAATGCTGATCATGACGAGAGAGGTACTCTGTCACACATGGGAGTTCAGGCTGTGTAAGGTTTTAGAGGTTAAAGATCAGTACACTAAAGGATGATATAGATTAAAAATGAAGATTATTTCAGTGCCGTTCTCTACTTAATTAATTTACAGGGGTAGCTGATATGAAGTGATGAGGCTGGTAGGGGTGGTGGGTTGAAACTGAGTTTTATCCATTTCTACTTTCCTGTGAGTTCCCAATGGTTCAGTGTATAGAGTGACAGACTAGGACAGGGATCGAATCCCCCTGTAATTGTAGAAACTGTTAAAGCCACTCCTTAAATATCTCGCTTACTTTGAAAGCCCTATTAGGGTCACCACAAGTCAGTTCTCACTTGACAACATGTAACAACAACTTCCCATAGTTTATGCTGATATATATAGTATTCATTTTAAATGATAATACTAACCTTTAAAAGTTGCTGTAAAACACAGCTTTCAAGATGACATCAGTGAAGTAGCTCTAATGCTCTGCCTGGGGGTGCCAAGGCAATTATTTATTACTTGTATCACTTACTAATTGCTATGTAAATTAATTGTTTGAATTGCCTATTAGAGAAGCAAGAATATTAAGTCCAAGAAAAAATATATTAACTTGAAACTCATTCTAAATTCTGTACATGGTGATTAATTAACCAAATCTGTTTATATTACAGCAGAGTCCTATACATGTCTGCTCAGAAGTCAGTCCTAGTGATCCCTGTGGAGTTTATCTCCAAAATAAAATTGGCATAAGAATGCTGTGATGATATCTGTAGGTGTCTCAGCATGGCTTAACCTCTGTTCTGATAAATAGAGCACTTATCCTTAAAGTAATTAATACTTCAAAGCTTTCAAAATTCATTCATAAATAGGAAAGGAGTTGAACATAATCATGGTCTGAAACCAATTTTGTTGCTCCTGTATAAACTGCTGAGGTTTGTGATCTAACTAAGCTAAATATATGGGGCAGCTAGAGATTTCAGTAATTTGCTTTGTTGAAATGGCAAGCAGTATTCTAAAGTGAACAGAAACAGTTCAGACTTCAAAGATACTGCTGGTTAAATTAGCACAGTTCCCTCACCTACCTTCTGAGACTGGAGAAAATGTGCAAAATAGTTCTAGTGTCAGCTGGAAGACCTTTTTCTTTTACAAGTTTGGAATCTTGCCAAGTAGGAAATGTTAGAATATTTTACGGTTTTTCTTGCATGACTCTATCTCTAAGTTTTCCTTCTAGCAATAGTTGTGCAGGAGGCAGTTTACTCTAATCTTTAATATATTAATTCCAATGAGATTCCTTCAGTCTTCAGCATGGATGGATAATTTTGACATATCCAGGGACCAATTTCTTCCCTGTATGGCATGTTTCATGAACTGTATTGCTGATGTTCAGTAGCAGTCCAGAAATTCCTTTTAAAAAGCAAGATGTGCTTGGTTTACAGAGATTTTTGTGGTTTGCCATCAACTTTCAGGAAGAAACTATGAACAAAGATTTTTTAAATTGTATTTTCTATTTGCTTTAAGGGGAATTTCTTACTTACTATCCAAATATGATGGTGCAGTGTGTGGTTATTGGCTGGCTGGATATTTGAACAGTAGATTATTTGACAGGAAGTAGAGAGAAATGACAGTTCTATACTGTATAGGTCAGGATATAGGATTAAAACAGCATCTGTTGGTATCTTTCATAGTGCAAGTCACTGACACAGAATTTAAATTCTCAGAGGTACAGCAGAAGCTCAAAGTGTATGAAGCGAGTCAGTTGTCCAGTTTGATTTGTAATGAGACAGACAGACATCTGTTCTGAACAGCTTTGGGTAATATTCCTTGACAAGGGCACAGTTAGTTATAAACTTTGAATCTCAGTTCTTCAATTGCCTTTAAACCCTGCACAATTTTAAAATTAATACTTCTGTCTATGAGCTAAGAAACAGATAACATTTTATGAATTATAATGGTAAGCGACTATGACAATGAAAAAGAAAAAAACCTAAATTTCAAAAGAATTGATTTAGAGCTCAACTGACTGAACCCTATGGCTCAGTCATAGGGCTACAGGTTTTTATAAATAACTGACTAGGTTAGAAATTCAGTCTTCTTCCTTCTGTCTAAATTAACAAAATGTCTGAATAGTTGTGTCAGGCAATTAAATGATAAAGGTTTGTGAAGTTATATTAAGGTCTGCCATGTGAGAAATGAAATTATTCTAATTTACTTAAGTAATAGCTATTTGCAAAAGTCTATTATACAGTGCTTTTTAAAAACATGCATAGCATTAACTACATACGAAATTTTTCTGTGTATAAAAGGGCACTTTTCCCCTAAAATAATTAGAGAAAAAATTGAGGGTCGTTTTATAGATGCAAGGCAGCAGCAGGAGGCAGACACTGAGGCAAAGAAGAAGCCGGGCTCAGCCGCCTCTCATGGCTGCCCATTGATTGCTGCCGCTGCCGCCCAATCACCCCCTCCAATGATCGTCTTCTTGCGGGAGCCCTTTGACCACTGCTTTTCCCTTCCTTTTGCTAAGCCACAGAGCTTAGCAAAAGGAAGGGAAAGCAGGGATCAAATTTGGGGTTAAAAAAGGGAGTGTCATCTTATACATTGGGTCATCTTATAAATGGAAAAATATGGTATATTAAAAAATTTGGGAAACATTTTGTACACATTTATGCTGAGTGTGAAACATAAAGACAGACAAAATTCTTTATGTAATGAAAAGTGCAGAAATACATTTTTGGGATAAAATTTGTGATGGTGAATATTATGTAGATTTTGTACAGATTTCTGCTTAGAATTTATGTCTTTTCGATGGTCAAATTTATTTGAGCTATAGTATAAAAGCATATTGAATAACAGGCACTTGGTCCTTTTGTGACATACTTGGTGGTAGTAATGCTACTAAGATCAGTTTTTGAAGTCATGATGTATTTTGGATGTTACATTGATGACATTTAGATGCTGAGCAGAATTTCAATGAGAAAGGTAGAGTATTTTGCTGTGGGTTTCTTTCCCTTTTTTTAGCTAAAATGGGTAGAAATAATAGTAACAATAACTTACTTGTGTTTTCTACCTAGAAAAATTAGATAAAACTTTTCTTCATGAAAAATAAATGCTTTGTAAATAAATCTCAATTAATCCTGTTCTTAATTAACTATTCATACATCTCTAATGCCTATTGAATTTTATACAGTTTGCTCTAATAAGGCAATTAAATACCACATAGTTTCTTCCTAATTTGGCCAACATTACAATTTATATGGAAGAGACCTGGAGGAGGGTTAGGAATGAGGTTTTTGTAATTTTTTGAACTACAAAAATTTCTGGATATCTGCTGGTATTGCCTGAGATAGAATTCTGGTGGCTTTAGCCCCCTGTCCCCCTCCCTCCCAAAAAGCTGTCTCAAATATTTGATATAATTTACAGTTGGTGTATAAATGAAAAAAAAATGCTTCCATTTTTGAGTTCTGAGGCAGGCCTAAGCTTTGCAGCACTGCAAAGCATTTGGGTTTTTGA